TATCAAGGAAATGAAGAATATTGCATTTTCTCCATTTTTGTTGTAACAAGTAAAAAAATAATAAAAATCTTTTTTGAAAAGTGAGTAGACGAATATTAAAAATATAAAATATTTAACAAATATAATAAATATGGATTATAAAAAATTCATATTTTTTAAAAAATGCGAATAATCAAATATTAATGTCTCATATAATATTTTATTATTTAGTTATTAAATATTATTGATTAATATTTCTTCGTAAATAATATATTACATGATGAAACATTTTTTAAAGTTGATGCTCTTTTCCATCAAATACAACTGAATTTCAATAAAATAATGCACTATACATCAATATAGACATCATAATAACTAATATTCTAAAAAATGTATAATATTTTTCAAATTTAATTTTTTTTATTTCTTTTTATAAAGTTTCTTTTTAGATAAAGTTATTTTTATAAAGTTATTTTATCGAAAAAAGCCTATTTGTATTTATTAATTCTTTCAAAAGATTTGAAAGAATAAATAAAAATTATCAAACATAAATAATGACTATAATAATTATATCACAAAAAAAGATAAAGAAATGATAAAAGACGTTTTCTATTATGTAAAGGTTATTATGTGAAGGCAAAAAATTCCGAATTTTCTTTTTTTTTTTACATTTTAAACATTTAAAACATTTTTACACAAAATAATTCAAATAATCAATATATATATAAAACAATGAGAATCTATTTAAAACAAAAAAGTATATTTATATTTTCTTAATGTTAAAAAAAAAAATAATATTTTAAAAAAATTTATATTTTCTTAATTATAAAAAAATAAAGTCATAGAAAAACAAATTTTCACTCATTATATTTTATCTTAATAATTTTTTCTCTAAATAAATAAATTCTAATAAAATTTGAGATACATAAATTACTTATCTATAACATATCTTGGTTATATGATCTCGGTTATATTATTTTATGATACAGTACTTTTATGTAACATAATACAAATAAAAGATAAAAGCGAAAAACAAAGAATGTTTTTGTGAATGATAGAATTTGATCAAATTATTCACATCACAATCTCTAATAATAATAAAAAAATGTTTTCATTTTTTATTTTCATTATTTTTAATTAATTTAATTGCGATCAAGAATAATAAATTCTCATCTATAATATATGAGCAAAATACAAAATATTTTAAATAACTTAATAAGAGCTGAATATTCTTCTTTTTTAAAGAAAAAAATTTTGCAATTTTGATATACTATATATTTTATAAACATGCAATCAAAAAAAAAAAAAAAAAAATTAAATAATACAAAATAATTTCTTTTCTGTGTCAATTTTTTTTTAAATATATCTACTTTAATATTATATTAAATTATTAAATATTAAAATATGTCATTTAAGCGTGAAAACAACACGCAGATTGCATATTTGAATTCAATATGAAAAATATAATTAAAATCACATAATAAAAATAAAAAATTTTGCAAATCAATGCAATTTATGTTTTCTACTTCAATTATATCCCTATGATTATTTTTTTATATATCGAAAAAATAATTTTCAAAAAAAAATTTTTATTTCTATCTTCTTTCTTTTTCTTTAATTTCTAAGTATTTTCTTTTATATATTTAAATTTTCTTTCTTTCCTTTTCAAAGAAAGAGAAAATTGATGGAAAAAAATTATTTTAATTAAATTTTAAAAAAAATTGAAATTCAAAATCGAAAATTTATAAAATCTTACAATTCTCGAAAATCTCAAAACTTTAAGCTCTCAAAACCTTAAATGTTTATTTTTTTCCCTTTCTTTTTCTTCTAAGGAACTTAGAAAAATTTATTAATTTACTTTATCAAGAGAAAATTAAAATTTTTGTAATTATGATTAACATATACATATTTCTAACTTATAAACATTTAAATTTTTATATTTTATTTTTTTTTTATATTTTATTTTATTTTTATAAAACTAAAATGAATAGAAAATCTAAACACAAATTTAATTTGATAATTATACATAAATAAAAGTAACTTTTAGTTTTAAAATTTTAAATTGCAAAAATATTAAAAAATATGAAAATTCAAGAATTTGAAATTTTTTAAATTTCAAAGAATTTTAAAAGTTCTCTAAGTTAAATCTTTTATAATTAAAAATTTTTTATTTTTATACTAAATTTTTATACTATTTTGAATTATTATTTTCCATATTTTATTTGAAAATATAGAAACCAATTTATTTGAAATGATATCAAAATAACAAAATAGTGTGAACATAAACAAATTTTTAATGAATAGCATTATTTCTATTAGATCTTGGCACTTTTCAAATAAAAAATTGTTTAAAAAATATTATTTTACATATAATTAATTGATTATAAAAATTAATATAATTATAATATATATAATATAAGAAGAAAAATATATAAATATTTATGAAAAATAAATTATTTAGAATTAATATTTTAATTTTAACTATATTTTAAAGATTAAAGAAAATTTTGTTTAATAAAAATTTTTAAATATATGTTTCGCCACCATACGGCCATTATTTACTTACAATTCAACTCAACACTGCCGTATTTATATAATCTATATCGATAGGAAAGTTCAATTTTTATATATATAAAATATTTGATATTTTTTATCCATTTTTAAATATTAACTACGGAGAACGAACTTTTTTTATTAACTTCAATTAATAAAAATTTAATCATAGCTTAAAAATATTATACATATAAATATTAAAAAAATTTAATCAAATTGCAAAAGAAATGAAATATTTAAAATAAAAAATTGTATTTTCACGATAATAAATTTAAAAATATTTTATTTGGCGATTATACAATATTGTATTATTGTTGTTCTATTATCTAGTATGTTATCTAGTATCGAACAATCATTGAATAAGCATTGCAAATAAATTAATTAGAAAAATTCTATTTCTCAATCATAAAATACAAATATAATTTTAATATAAATTTCTTTTAATTTTATTATTAATTAAAAATATCAACATATAAAAATTTATTTAACAATATTATCAATAATATTAACACTTTAAGCTCTCAACACTTATTAGCATTTTCGAGTTAAGCAGATAAATAATATCCATATGGCGGTAAAATACTTCATATGTACAAATATATTCAAATATTTTTTTAATCTTTTTGAATTCAGACAGAATTCAGAAAGACATTTTAATATTTTTGAATAATTTCCTTTTAAAAAATATATACAAAATCCATTATGTGAAAAATTTATGTTAAATATTTGAAAAATAAATGATAAATGAAAAGTATATACAGTTTTTTAAATTTTAATAAATATTTTCTACTATTCATAATTATAAGTAATAATAATTATCAATACTATTCAAGAATTTCTTCTTTATCTTTTGATATTAACTATATAGAAATATTCATCATTTTTAGTTTTTATTAAAATAACTTAAATTTTACTAAAATAAGTTAAATTTAACTCAAAATTACTATAAATAGTATTATATCTTATAAATATCATATTCTATTCCATATTTTATCCCAATATCATTATTTATTTATAAATATTACATTCAGAATGAAACAAATAAAATGTGATAAACTTTTTACCGAAATTATAACAAATATGTTTTTTCTTTAAATAATTAAATAATTATAGGAATTAATTATTTAAAATGTAACAAATTTTTTCGTCTAAATAATTATATAAAATTTCTAAATTAATCTTTCCTAAATTAGTTAATTTAAAAAATCTACTGTATATTTACTGTAATTTCAGAGAAACCAAAGTCTTTATTTGCACGATTTTAATATATTTAATTATTTCTAATTTTGTTAATATCATCTCTAAATATAATTGATTTTTTTTTATTTTTTTAATTCTTTATATAAAATCATTAACATTTAAAAATAATCTTTTAACAATTAAAAATTTTAAATTAAATTGAATTAAATTAATATTAAATTTTTATACATGAACTAAAAGAGAAAAAAACCAATTTTAAAAAATTATAATTATTTATATGAAATTATTATTTTAATAAACAAAATTGTAAACTTATATTTAATTATTATTCTTGTATTTCATTATTAAATATTAAGTTTTTTATATATTATTTAATTTTAATATATATAAATTATCATATATAAATTTAATATTATTTTATATTTTATCGTCTTTAAAATTAGAAGACTTTTATGTATATATATTTCAATAATTTATATACAGACAGATTTCATATCATTCTTTCACACATCACGTGTTACTTCACGTAATAAAAATTTAAATATCTAATTTTATTATAATTAATATAGCAAAATTAAATACAAAATTAAAAATAATATATTCTAATTTATATGCATCTAAAGATTTAAATATAAAATAAAAAAAGATATAGAAAATTCATTGAAAGTTTATTAAAGGTTAGAAAAATAAGATATTAAGAATCTAAAAATGATACAATCAACTAAAGTAATGAAATAACTAACTAAGGTAATAAAAATCAATAAATTTCTACAATCATGTAATTCAATTCAATAATTTCAATTTTATATTTTTTATTATATTTATCTTTATGTTCACATCATAGTATTTAATAATAATAATAATATCTATATTTTTATTTTAAAAATATAAATAATTTGTTATTAATGTATTTATTAGAATAATGACATTCAAAATTTGACTTTTAAATTGAAAATTATTAGAAAATATTTTTATGAATTTTTTATTTACAACATTTTGTGATGAAATTTTTAAATTTTGAACTTCTAATTTGATATTTTGATATAATGTTTTTATCTTTTACCTTCTTACATCACAATTACAATTCAAACAATTAAAGTTTTTTTTAAATCATAATTTTAATTAATTATTGTTGCAGTAATGTATGATTTAGTATAAGAATATATTAAGGCATTTGTAGACGTTATTTTTTTAAATATAAATAATCATGTATAAGTATTTTTTTTATATACAATAATTTCATCATATTTCACATATATTTCTTTCAGACACGTGGATAACCTCAATTTTAATATTTTTATTCAATATAAAGTTTGTCTTGTATCTCTCTTAATATCTGTCATAACTTGAAAAATGTTTTAAATAATAATATAATTATTTCTAAATTATTATTATAAATTCAATGAATATGAATTACAATTACTTTACTCAATTTCAAAAATATAAATTTACTTTAAAATTAATAAATCCTATTTATAATGTTTTAAATAAGACAAAAAATCTTAAAATACCAGAAAAACTCAAAGGAACATTTCTTGAACGATGGGGTAAGTAAATATCATATAATAATAAAAAAAATAAATAAATATTAAAATCAAATAATGTTAAAAAAAAATTTCATTTTCTTTAATATATCTTTATTTATAGGAATATATTGGAAAAATCTTTATATAGATTACAAAGAATCAGCATTAGGTGCTACTAAAGATTGTAAGGAACATCCTATAAGAACATCTATATATTTTTCTCGTAAGTTTATTTATGTTTATGTTTTATGTATAATAAAAAAAATTTAATATTGATTAATTGAAAAAATTATTTATTTATTTTTTATTTTGAAAAATAGTAAAATATTAAAATATAATATAAATGATTAAAAAAAATTATATTTAAAATATTTTTAATATATCAAAATTTTATTTTTAATTAGTTTTAGCATCCTGTGTGTATCTATATAGGCATAATCCAGATGAATGTACTTTTAAAGAAAATTTATTACAAAATACCATGAAAATAATGCAAGTAGGAGAAGCTATACGTAATCCAATATCTGAACATTATGTAAAATGGTTAGGGAAATGTTATAATGAAGGCATTGTACGACGGATGAATTTAGGTATAATTTCTCTAATTTGGTTAGATGATTATGATAATATGTGTTCTTTATATAAAACGGTTTGTCCTTACTTAAAAATACAATATCTAACATTTCATAAAAGAGTGATAGATTTTGGACTTTTAGATAAATGGTGGATCTTAGAAAATAAAATGAAGGATTATGATGTAAATGAAGCAGAATTTAGTAATGTAAATCATAAGTAAAATAAATAATTTAAAACAAATTAATCTTTTAAATAATTATATCACATACATGTATCTATCATGCTTACACATAATATTATACAATGCAAATGACAAATATATTCATAATGAAAATTTTTATATATTATTTTATTTAATATGTCAAAGTAATATAATATAAATTAAATAATATAATAAAAATAAAAAATTAATGCAATAATGGAAAACCATAATTATATAATAGCAACGAAAATTCGTATCATTGTAAATAT